GCATTGCTTCTGGGATTACCTTCCAGTCTCCACAATTTCCTTCATCTTATTTTTCCCAGTTCGTTGGCCACTGGCCTTAGCCAGCTTCTTAGCCCCTTCTTTACCTTTCCAAATTATGATCTTCCCTGAACACTCATACTTTTATTTGTACCTTTTAGTCACCCTGGGGCTTTTTGTGCGCCTTCCTATAGTCATGAGTCCTTCTTTCCTTAAAATTTAGTTTGGAACTATTTTGGTATAAAGACGAATATAGGAGTATAATCATTTGTTACTTTTGACTTTCAAAGAAGGTACATTTCATGGGTTTCTTAAGGTATCCTGGGATACTTGCCACTTGTGTCTGATAGATAATAAGTCATCCCTGGTACTGGCTCCATAGCGCCACACTAGGTAGACATTTCTTATCATTCTTTCCCTCATATGATCTCACCTCACACTGTTGCCTGTGTCAAGTGAGATAGTGCATCTAAAGTGCCTAGTATCTGGTCTACTACCAAATGCCCATGATTGTTAGCTGCTTGTATTTAAACTGACGTTGGTCATAAACCATCTTGACTAGTATCTACCGTTTCACCTATGTCTAATGCCTTAGTTAAATAAACATTAAGCTTTTTGAAGGCCAGGAGTATGATTTAGAACAGTAGCCCTCAAGCTGAAGGGCATAAACAAGTAACTGGGAGGAAGGGCTCTAGCAGAGCTGGCCACACCCCGGACTTCCTGAAGCTAGAGGGAGGTGGTGCATCTGTGTGTGTGTGTGTGTGTGATCATTGGCATTTCTAACAAGCACTCAAGAGGTACAGATGTCCCACTTAGAGAACCACTGTTTTGGACAATCCTGTATCATCCCCAAAAGTATCATAGAGGGAAACTTTCAATATATTCAGGGTAAATTATGCAAAAGGTAACAACCGCAATGTCAGTGGGGAAATCTCTCCCAGCCCTTCATTGTGAGAAAAGTTTTATCACAAAAGGGGCTGAGCCCAAAGGAATAAGCAGAGAAATCTGGTTGAAAGAAAAGGTGCTCATGGCACAACTGAACTCGGAGTATCATCTGTTGGTTTTCAGGAGTATGTGCAAAATTCAGACAAGAAGCCAAACAGTAGCTCAGCCAGCTCATGGCTGCCTGAGTTTTCATCTCAGTCTATAACAGTGCCAGAAGGGCTGCTGGGATCCATCTGTTGCTCTCTTTCTGATAACAGATCTGGGGTCTCTCTGGAAGGAAATAGCTTGACAGGAAGAAGAAAGATTAGAAAGAAAATGTCTAGGTTTCTGAAGCTGAACTTGAAAATGGTATAGGTTTTAACTCCTTATGGCATTTCTCAATATGCCTCTGCTATTCCTTCTGCTTTCTTTGTTCCTTACCTCAAGGAATATAGCTTGTGAATGTAAAAGTTATCTTGGACACATACTGTTTCTACACAAATAAAGTCCATAGAATTTGAAGGAAGGCTTGAGATTATCCAGCCCTACTAATGTTATGGATAAAGAAACATAAGCCTGGTGTTAATCCTAAAATATGGAACTGGTGAGGATGCAGAGCCAGGCTGGGTTCCAGATCCCTTGGCTCACAGTGAGCACACGATGTGTGCAGTCCTTTACACTCCTAAATGGAGTAGGAAAAAGATATCTTTCCTCCAGTGCATTTTTAAGAGAAAACATCATCTTAATTCATATTTCACCATTTTCTCTTTTGCCCCTGGAAGGAGGTGGGCTTTATAAGGGCTACTGAAGAGAAAGGAAAACTCTAAACATTTCCAGCAGGGCTCAAAATCTCGAAGGCAGCGATACTGTCCTGTTACCTGTCATATGCCTGCTGGCTACCCAGAAACACAGTAAGAACAGAGTCTCAAAAAATACAAGAATGAATGAATAATAATGGAATCATGGATTTGATGATTGTTTGCTAACTTTTCAGCTAATTATGGGATAAATGTTTTGCACTAAGATTTTGAGCCTGCTGTGGGGTCCTCTTATCTCTACCAGAAAGGTAGGTACTCATATAAAACCAGAAAGTGGCTTCTCTATAAGACAGTGTGTCAGCCAGAAAGGTACAGGCTTTGGAGGCAGAAATCTTTGAGGCCCAGCATGTTCTCTCTAGTTACTTAAGTCTGGGGAAGTCATAGAGACATTCTGAGTCCCTTCTCCTCCATCCCACTTCCCTTCTCTCCTCCACTAGCGTTAAGGATTTAATGAGATGCTGTATGCCAACTGCCTTGCACATAGTAGGTGCTGAATAAATGTTAGTGCCACTGTATCCTTTCCAACTGCCTGTTTCAGTACATACAGGTGTTGAAGTAGGAGGGATTGGGAGAGTCCAGAGAGAAAGTACCAACTCTGTACGCAGGGCCTTTCATGGCTGAAAATGTACACGTTATTGTTTTCATTATAGTTCTCTACCAGCTACTGTTACTGAGGATATGCTTTGCAATAACTACAAAAGCAAACTTCCTATCCCCTGGGCATTTATCATATCCAATGATCTTCACTATTTCTCTGATTTCTAAATAAAATGGTTGTCAGGAAAAATAATAAATCTAGCACTTTGCTTACCCATTTGGTCTTGGTTTTCTGGTTCCAGGCTCAAGGAACTCTGTCTCCTCCTCCATTTCCCTTCCAGGGATCCTGTTTATCTGAGACTGTTGTGGTGAAAGCATTTCCCATTCATTGTCATGGGTGACAGCTTGCAACAGAACTGTGTCTGGGCCAGCTCTACCTCGGTTCTTCATCTTCCGTGACTGGCTGCTCAGACCAGAGACTTCCTCTAGAGCTAAAGATTCTAGAGGCTTCATTTCTTCAATGTGAGATCCTTCGATCATGTATGGATCAGAGAACGGCTCCACAGTCTTGTCAGCCCAATCAGTTCCTGAGCCCCTGGCTTCTGGTGATGGATGGCTAACCTTGCCACAGCCCAAAACCATCCAACTCTGGTCTTTCGCAGAACTTCCAAGAGACACCCTCTTGTCATCTTTGGGTGACAGTCTCTCTATAGAATGATCTTTGTTTCCATTTAAGGGGGCAGGCTCACATGTATCTGGGAAGCTTTCTACCTGAGTTCCTATCAGTCCTGTTTCTTCAGAACCTATGTGTGATTCCTCTAATTGAGATGTACTTTCTCTTGCTTCACAGGCCTCTGGCTTCAGGGGTGAATTTTGTTCATGGCCTACAAGTATGTAATCCATGTGTATTGCATGATGATCTTCATTCTTCCCTGTCCATCTTTCTTCTTTATATTCCGATTTTATCTCTTCAGGCTCTTTGTCAGGGATTATATTTTCTTCTTCCAACTCTAATATTCCCTTGTTGGCACCTAAAAGTGGAAAGTGAAAGTGAGGAGAGGAGAGGAAGGTTTAATTAACACATTGTGTGATTTGTGATCTTTACAAATGATTATCTAAAAAGGTAATTTAAGAAATACCTCTATTTTGTAGAACTGTTTAATTTTCTCATGCATGATCAGAGATAGGAATTATTTTATATGCACTAGATTTTACTGAAATTATAAAAACTTGGTTATTGCACATTGCAGATTTAGTTTCTCTTTACCTACATTGGTAGGAAGAGTATTTGTACAATCACACTGGTTTAACTGAAGCAGCAGTTTTTTGGGGGTGAGGGAACGGGCGGTTTCTTACCATTTGGTGGTCCCATGTCTCCACCTGCTGGTGAGTCAGAATTATCTGATCCTACTTCCCAGTCAATGTTTGGTGGAGATGACTCAAAGTTGGAGCTTGCATCTCCTACTGGAAAAGAAACTGACTCTGGGTCTTCATGAATATGCATCACAAATGGGTGGTGCCCAGGCTGTCCACTTTTGGTCTCAGTGTGGTTTCCCTCACTTTGATCTGGAAGAGCAGAAAGCAACATCTCTGCTGCTTCAATTCCCAGAGATAAATCTTCTGGAGACCCAGCTTCTTCTGTTATCTCGGCACTATGCTGGGTTTCTGTTAGATAGGACAAGTCAAAGGGAGGGGTGTAGGGTGCCACTGACTGCCTCTGACCATTTTCCTCCAAGGGAAAGTTAGCACCATAGAGAAAATGTTCAGGCTCTTTCATTAAATCTTCATCGATGTTCTGGCCCATTGCATCATATTCAAAATCACCCCATGAGGCTTCGGATGAACAGATATCTTGTTTCCCAGCATCTCCATCAACTGGTGTTTCAGGATGGCCTTCTGACAGTGTCAGTTTACTCATGTCATCTATTGTCCCTGTGGAAGTGTTAAGACCGGAGGCATCACTGAAACTGTGGTCAAAGGCAGCTTCACCTACATCCAAACAAGTCCCCGAGGTGAGCAAAGTATCAGTAACTGTAGCAGGAGTCTCAGGACCAAAGAGTGACTCACAGTTAGACAAAGCCCCTATACCTGTCTGACTTTCAGGAGAAAAGTTCTCTGGTACCCAGGAGTGGTTGCCTTCCATAGTTGGCTCCTGGTGAGTAACAAAAATCCGAGTTCCCACATTTTCAATCCTTTGGATTGTCCTGTCAATGAGTTCCAAAACCGGTGCTGTATCTGTGCTAGGTCCTTCTCCTGATGCTTCTAAACCTGTACTGTTGTCATCATTCATTTCAGAATGCTCAGGAGAACCTGTAGAAGAGGCAGGCTGAGATGAGCCATTTATGTTTGCTTGATTGCTAACCAGAGGCAGTGGAATTATGTTTTCAGCAAAGAGTTCCAAATTGCATGGGACAGATTCCTGCCCAGGCTGCAGACTCAGATCTTCATTTATCTTTGACTCAGTGAGATAGAATTCACTGAGTTCCACTTCAGGTCCAATACAAGCACTGACATACTGCTCAGTCTCTTGCTTTGCTTCAGAATCATGACATATATCAGGGCTACTGGAAGCCTGAGAATTGTTGTCTTGGTCACAGTGAGTGAGTATGTCAGGATTCTTGCCATCTGCTTTCAGACTGAAGGGCTGCTTGACATCCACCCACAAGTCAGGGGAGGCTGAGGGCAGCTGCCCACCCTCTTGGAAGCTGTCATGTAAAATATCTGGAGTAAAGGTACCACGGGGGCCCTCATTAGGATTGGAGCCTTTCCATTCAGAGACTGACTTCTTTATCAACTGGCTGGGAGAATGGACAGCAGGGAGATTTTGTGTGGCAGTGCTTGAATGTGTCATCTCACTAAGGTCTGATTTTTCTTGTTCCCACCAATTTGCTTCCTGACAATCAATAGTTGAGGTGTTAGCTGTAACATGTCCATTTTTATCCGAGTGACTAATTTCTGGGTCTGGCTGATCCCAGACAGATAGCATGGTACCCTGACATTGCTCTTGAGTGAGTGTCTCAGAAGGAAGTTCATGACCAGCAGAAGATATAAAAGTTTGCTCTCTGCAATCATTTTCTTTAATTTGGTCCGATACTACAAGCTGGCTAAACTGGTCAGCATCCGAGTCTGGCTGCCTTGGTTGGATATTCCAAAGTTGCTCATGGGAGTTGTCCCCATTACTACCCAGGAAGGGTGGCTGAAGTTCGTCACTGAAAGGATTAGCACAGTGTGTTTGCATGGACTCAGTATCATCCTGGGTGGGTACTCTCCATGGACTCATACTTGGATATACTGAAGAATTCCTCACTAATGCAACACTTGAGTTAGACAGTACTCCCTGAAATGTACTCTCAGTGGGTCTCCCTTCCCACAAGGGGGCTTTCCACCACTCACTGCTCTCAGCTGAGAAGCCACGCATTTCTAATTTAGAATGAGCTTCATTCTTTGGTTCAGTTTTGGGAGACATTTGCCATATTTCATCTCTTGTCTTCCTTGCTTCTGGAGAAGGTTGTGACTCCTTCTCCTCTGCTGTGATCTGAATTTCAGTCTCTGTGAGTGGTGGGAAATGCCAGTGATTGGAGCTGCTTTGACTATCATATGATGTGGGTGACTTATTTTCACTCTCTGCTAGTTCTGAACTACCTGTATAATCAGAAAACTCCTCAGCGTTGGGTTCTGCTGTGGTCAAGAACTTAGATTCATTGAATGCATCCCAAGCTCTGGATTCACTCTGAGTAACTTGACAAGGGACCAAATGAGTGTCTTCCTCTACTGACTCTTCATTACCCACTGAATTATCATGAGAACCTGAATTTGTTGAAATGACCTTGGCATCCTCTGGCTGCACAGTTTCAAGAACAACACGTTTATGGTTCTCCTCATGGCTAACCACTAGATTTCTGTCCTGATATGTACCTGAATAGTCAAAATATTTGCCTGTTTCAGGGCTTGATAAAGAGGATAAAGAATCACTATCGATGGAATCATTCCAAATCTCTAAAAATTTAGGAACTTTTTGATCAAAGCTCTTTTCAAACTCATCCATCCTGTTTTTCTCTAAATTCTTCATTTCAGTAAGTACTTCTACTTGGCCATCAGTGCTTATTACTTCCGATGGTTGGTGATTCTGTTCACTCCGTTCATCTTGGTTCTCTTTCTGATGCTCAGTACCGGGTCCATGGGCCGAGGAGGACAATGCAGTTGAAGAATCATTTAGGTCCGGACTCGATGCACTGGAGTGTGTATACTCATCACTGGAAAGGCTGTCTTTGTCATAACTTCCAGATGAACTGGCTCCTGGGAGGCTATTTGCAGCACTCTTCACTTCAAGAGTCTTAGTTATCTCAGAAATTGTATAATTGGCCTGCACATCACTGTCTACAGAGCCATCCCCAACAACAAGGCTTTGGGGAGATTCATGAAGTGGCCCTTCATTTACTCTTTCTTGCTCCAGAATGTTATATTCTTCCACTTTCTCAAGATCCATTGCAAATGAAGATAAATTTTTTGTTAAATTCACCTTACCTGAAATCTCAGTCATTTCCCCAGAATTTCTGTGATCCATGAGGGGCTCTTTGTAGGTCTCCTTTGCCTGCAGGTTATTTGTGGACATCTCTGTTTGTGAATCACAGGCATCTAGGTTATAAGTGTCCTTATACTCTAAAGCCTTCTTTGGCTCCTCTGTTTGAGGACTCCAAGTGGCTGGAAGAGAGCTGATTTCGCCTGATTCGGCATAGATTTCTTGATATTCAGATGCAACTGGGGAAGACAGATCCTGGCCACTAGCGCCTTCTCCAGAATTCCCTGAGGCACTATCATCCCCAGAGCCCATCACCTCCTCTGTATCAAGGCACCTTCTGCTTGAGGCTCCTGGGGCTTCATGTTCACTTTCACTATTTCTATAACTACGACCTATCCATAGATCTGAGCATGCAACATGTCCTGGGTTCTCAAGCTTGGGGACCAAGGATGCTGTATCACCTGGCAAGGTTCCTGTCCCCATGTCCTGGTCATCAGGACGAGGTGTGTGTGCTGCTGACTCGCTGATTCCAGAGGCTTCTAGCCCTTCTGTGATGTGACTGTACATAGCATTTGCTGAATGGCTGGGACTTTCAGAAGGCAAATTGCTTTCTTCTGAATCTGTCATATATGATGGGCCTGGTAACCTGAATGATGACACATCTTTATCTCTCATCACAGAATTCCAAATACTGTTTGCAATTAGCTGCCCATTTTTCTCATTCAGTGTGTGATATTCTTTGGGAGCGGTATCCTTGGCATGCTCAGTGGAGGCAGGGAGCTCCCAATCTATCTGGTTTTCTTCCTGATACTCCGTGCCCCATGGTTCCAGCTGTTTCACTGAAAATCGGGTTTCTGGTTCAGTACTCTCATCCATATATCCTTCCGCTTGACCATCACTGGTGATTGCCACCCCCCCACTGCAGTCATCCCAGTCCAAGTCATTATCCATATCTGAGATCGTGGCAGTGGACTGCGTGTCCTCAAGAATCACTCCATTCCATAAGTCAAGGCTGTCAGGAGCTGCCTGCCTGGAGTTGGTGCTGCTGTGCAGAAGTGTGAGCTGCCGATTTGTCTCATTGTACAATTGCATCATACTGGGGTCATCATAGCTGGACTGGCTGCTTTCCCCCACCTCATCCTCCATGGAGATGTTCTGCTCATCTGCATGCTCAGCATGGAGTAAGTCTTTATCTGTGTCATGAGCAGCATTTATTTCAGAATTGTCATCTGTGTGAGATGAAGCCCACATGGCTAGGTTCCCAGGGCCTGAACCGATTCGATTTCTAGGAAGCTGCTGCAGTGATTGCAGAGGAACTTCAGCTTCTTCTACAGTTGAGTCAGTGTCTTTGGACTCACACACTTCCTCTTTGGCAAGTGGCTTGTTTTCTGTTTCTTTTTCCTCTCCAGCAAATGTTGGTGATGTGTAAGAGTCAGAAGTGGAGTAGTTGGTGTCTAAGGGAGAAGGCACTGAATCTTCTCCTACATTTGATGCACTGTAATCTGAACATTTGTATGCTAAGAAGGAATCTTCCCAAGGGGCTAGCACATCTGATCCTCCTTTCTTAACAGTCTCCTCAAAAAGGTTCCAGGAATCTACCTTTTCATATACCTTCCCCCTAATTTTAGGATCCACAAAACCATTTTGATCTTTCCTTAGTGGCTGGGAATTATTCCATGTATGATCCAGGCTGGGACTGGGATTTCCAGATACAAAGATATTATCCCTAGAGTCATTGTTCTTCTTGGCCCAGATTTTTGGAGCTGCCTCATTATTTGCCTCAGTGGCTGAATTGTCCAGCAGGCCTTCTGAAGGAAAAGAATACCCATTTTTTGCCATCACCCACTCATTTGGGTTCCTCAAAGCAGGTGTCTCGCCACTTGTCGGGTGAAGATTCCAGGTATTTTTTAGAGCTTCAGCATCATCTTCTTTATGAAATGCACTCCAGGCTGCAAATGACATGGCAGCCACTGGTTGCCCATCACCTGTAGGGTTTCCCCAGGGCTCAGGCATTGCTGTTGGAGAATGACCAGACTGCCACAAAGCAGTAAAGTCTTCTATCAGGTGGTTTGTTCCCTGAGGAGAAGCATTTGGTAAATGTGGCTTCTCAGTGGGCAGGTTTTGAAACTGCAAGCTTTCTTCCTTTTTGCCTTGAATGTCATTGCTACCAAGTTCTGGCTGACCAAATTCAGACTCCCAGGGATCTGACTTTGGGAAGTCAAGACTGTTTGGTTGAAAGACAGAATCTGAAGCTCTCCTGTCAGTAGGGCTGGGCTTATGATCTTTCCATGATTCAGGACTCTGAAAGACAGATTCTTGTTCACTGGAACTCCATGCATCTGCAACATTTTTAGAGTCAATTTCCAAACCACCCCGCCAGCTGCTGCACCGTGTCTGGGTCTGAGGTGGCCCAAGGTGACCTGTGTCCATTGCTTTAGGGATTGTGTTTTCTGGATAGAGCAAGGCTGGCTCTTCAGTGGATGGTGAACTTTCCACAAAACTATTCATAGGTGTGGGTGGGATTTGCTTTCCAATATTGTTCAGCCTTTCTGGTGAAGGCGATTCATCTTCCACAAAACCTTCCAGGTTCAAATTTCTTTCAGAGTTTTCTCCCAGACTTTCTTGTCTCTGGACAAACTCCTCATCAAATTCCACCAGGCTGTCTTTGCCAGCCTCTGACAAAAGGGAACTGGATGAATAGCTGGACAGGTTGGCCCCTGTCTCATCAAGTCCTTTTGGCCCGGGGGGAAGCTGTCCCTCGGATGAATCACTGTTGGGGAAGTCGTCTGCGGGGGAACAATCGGCAGAATGGGAAGATGGCTGGGACTGCCCAGAAACCATGGGAGCCGAGTCAAAGTTGAAGAGGTCAAAGTGTTCATTGCCTTCCCCAGACCGTGCATGCTCTTCTGCCACGACCCCTTCAGGGATGGGACTATAGGAGTCAAAGCCTGGAAGGAGACTGTGGTGAGGCCCAGCACCTTCTCCCACTGGACTGTCATCACTGAGGAAGACAGAGCTCTCCTTGGATGACCGGCTGCTCCGAATGGTGGCTAGCCCGCTATCTGGACTAACAAGGTCTATGTTGACATCCACTAGCGCCTGGTTAGAATCACTGAGGTCTGGAGGGTTCTCTATGAAATTCGCAGCGCTGGGCTGTGGCTCTACATCAGAGCCATACAATTCCGTAATCCCGGAAGAGCCTTGGGAAAGGGGAGCACTGCCTGCCACAGCTTCCGTGGAGGACGTCCGGCTGTTGGAGGCCATTTCTGGACATCTTCTGTTGATGACTTCCTTGACAAGAAGAACCACGTGATCACAAGTCACAGCGGGGTCCTCCTGCCGGTACACCAGGATCTCAGCACAGCCGCATTCCAAGGGCTCCAGTTCTAGGCAAGGGTTCTGACACTCTTCCAGCTCACAGCAAATCTGTTGGGAGGAACAACAGTTTGTGCATGCACTCAGGCTCTCTCTCTCTCTCTCTCTCTCTCTCTCTCTGTTCTGGGAATTAAATCCAAAGCCTTTGCACTGCGCTATATCCCCAGCCCTTTTGACTGAGATAAGGTCTCACTAAGTTCCTAAGTTAACCAGCAGCCTGGACTCCAACCTGCAATCTTCCCACCTCTGCCTCCCAAAGTGCTAGGATTACAAATGTGCAACACAGGCAATCTTTGTGCTTGGCAGTTTGCCTTGTTAAATCTTTCTTAACGTGAAATTAATTTGTATTCATCTGTTTAAAAGAAGACCTCAAACAACTGAGATTTGTATAAGACATGAAACGTCCCACTTAATCTGCTACCAAAATTTTTTCCAATCCTATCAAACTATCTTTTCAGTTAACTCAAAATTCAGCTTCTAGATTTCACTGACTCCTAAAACTTACGAGTAGAAAAATTTAAAACCATGTAAACTCCTTTCTTAGGTGTAAGAGAACACCATCTTCCAACAGAAGTGAAACTTAGGTTTCAAAAACAGATATAATGCTAGTTACTGACAGGAACTTGGGGCAGAGTGTTGGAATAAGGTGGGAAAAGCAGGACTTGCAAGGCAAAGAAGAAAGTAGGAAAGTAAAAAAGCTACCAGGGCTGTTTCCCCAATAGCACACAGGGGCCTTCTGTCCCTTCTTCTCCAAGGAAAAAGACATGAAGTCCTGAACAAATATAGCCACCCAGGAGGCAGAGGACATCATGACAGTCAGTATAAAGCCAGAATTGGGCTGCAACCCTTTAATGTTTAGCAAATATCCGGAGTGTTTTATCACATCAGGCTTTTGAAATGGCCCTGCAGGATTACTGGAGGTATAATGATAGCAACCGTCACAGAAATCACACAAATAATTAATAATAACAGTAATAAACATTTATTGAGTGTTTTCCTAAGTGTAAGAGTTTCATGACTTTTATCTCCTTGAATCCTCACAGTAATTATACAAGGTAGGGACTACTGTTATTCCCATTTTATTGATGAGGAAATGAAGACATAGAAAGGTTAAGTAATTTGTTCAACAACACACTGCTAACAGGTGACAGGACTGAGTTTTAAACTCAGGCAGTCGAGCCGCAGAGGCAGATTTTTAATCAGCTGTGTAAGCACAGGACAAAGGGACTCCCTTGGCCCACAGCCTGGCCCTGTGTGCATTACTTGAGATTCTGAGACTGTCTTAGGAGCACTGTGAGGGTGGGGAGAGCTGGCGAGGGAGAGAGGAAGAGAGAAGTTGGCTCAAGGCCTTTTAGCCCTTTCGTCTGCTCTTCTACTTGTGTCTTTTTTAAGTGAACATATTTTCAAATTGGTTTGAAAAAGGGGTTTGCTGCTGATTTAAAAAATACTATATTAGAGGCTTAGGTAGCCAAAATCTTGTCCTTGGGAAGCCAGTGACAGATAAGATTACATCTTGAAAGCAAGTGCAGAAGAAAGCACTGAAAAGCCACAGGCTAGTCATGTGGTGCACATGTGCATGCCTGTCAAAGAGGGGAACAAAATGCACGTGTGGCAGGGCCAGGGCATGTTCTTAGCTGGGGAACATGAGAAAGTACAGAGAGAAACCCAGAGGATGTAGAGCGATGTCTAATAGTGCTGAGATGGAGAAAGGGAGGGTCTGGAAAGGAAACAAATGGATCTGACAAAAGAGGAGGATGAATGTGTTCTGTGCCCACTGTGGTCCATATGATACTGGATCAAGCACATTCCCATATTAGCTACTACAGTTTGGCATATGGAATGGATGCTTTTGCCATGTTGGATTCAAACTTGGGGCTTCTCACATGATAGTCAAGCCCTCTACCACTGAGCTACATCCCTAGCCCAGCTTCCAGTGGCCTATTTGTATTAATTTTGTATAATTCATTTTTTAATTTCCTAGGCCTTAGGTTAAAAGACTCAGTCATCAACACAAGGCTTCAACTGATGACTCAGTGAGAATCTTAACACCTAGAGAGGAACTTGTATCAAAGCATCGGGTCACCACTTACTAAACCCTGGGCACCAATGGGTACTGAGACAGAAACTACACCTTGTTTTGACCAGAAAGCAGTCCCAGAAGAAACAGCCCTAGAGGAGGATTTGGTTTCATTTGGGTGAGAAAGCTCTGATTTTCTAGGGAGTCAGTCTAGAAAAGAAATCATTAGGGGCTGTGCTATGGATTGGATAGCGATTGAGCATGCACTCCAGAGGCTCCTGTGCCGGAAGCTGGATCGTCAGTGTGGTGATGCTGGCAGGCTGGAACTTTAGGAAGTGGGTAGTGGGAGGTGAGTAAGTTTCAGGAACATCACTGCTATGGCTTGTGTCTAGATGCTGCCCCAAAGCCTCATGTGATCACAGGTGGGGCTTTTTCAGAGGTGGCTGAATCTACAGTGTGTGATGTTGGGATTAAAGGTGCATGATTCCTAAATCAGTCCATTGATTAATCTGGCACTGCCCTAAATCCAGTAGCCTAGATAGGGTACAAAAGGGGCAGAAAAAAGTTGGTAAGATTCCTCATTGCTTTGCTACCTCCTGCTTGCCTTGAACTGAAACCTCCACAGTGAGCTAAATAAACCTTTCCTCCTCTAACTTGTGGCTGTTGGGTATTTTGTGTCAGCAATGAGAGCAAAGTAACTAACACAATCACCCTCAGAAGGGATTAATGAAGATCTTATGGAACTGGATCAGTTTTCACAAGAATGGGTGCTGTAAAGCAAGCTCAGCTGTCTCAGCTCATTCTCCTGCTGTCTCATCATGTGACCTCTTCTGTACTTCCACCATTGTGATGCCATCTGCTATGACCCTTATCAGAGCCAAGCAGATGCCAGTGCCACACTCTTGGATCTAGATCTGTCAGCTAAATAAATCTCTTTTCTTTATAAAGTATCCAGCCTCAGGTGTTTTATTAGACCTTTTGTTACAGACACATGAAATGAACTAATGCAGGCCCTTTAAAAAGACTCAATATGCAGTATAACCTCAATATTTCCTAAAACTCAACTTTAAGTGCACTTGTCTCTTGGGACAATTTCTTTTTTTTTTTTTGTATTAAATTCTTTTATTGGTACATTGTAGGTATACAACACAGTTACATTTCTCGTTGGGAACTCTACCTTTATATAATGCATCTTGGTTCTTATTTTTTCCCCATTCCTAGCCCTCCCTTCATGCCCTCCACCCTTCCCTATTTACAAAGACTTTATTTCCATTTTTTCCATTTCTTACAAGCCACAAATCTATTCCTATCTCCCACTAAGTATTCTAAAAGGCAGCAGATTGGGAGGCACTGAAGTGAGTTGGGGCTGGAGGAAGGGCTCACCTGATTGCACAACTCCAGGTTCTGAGAGTATACAGCAATCTGCCGTCTAGGCTGCTGATCCTCTGACAGGTAGCTGGAGAATAGGACAAGGACATCAAAGCCGAACTTCTCTGTGAATGCTTTCAAATCACCGGCAATATTGCTGTGAAACACACAGTTCTGAAACAACAACAGGAGATGTGATATTAATGTCAAATTGCTTAGTTACAGGAAGCTGTGCCACAGATCAGTTCAGTCCTATGATGTGTCAGGACATATATTTATTATAAGAGACAAGAGAAAGGAGCACTTTGTTTTAAGAGAGTTGAAAACGTTCACACTATGGCTTATGATACACTTTGTTTTTTCAGACTAAGAAAAGATAATTTTTGCCCATCATTACTAATAGCTGAGATTAGAAACAAATGTCTTAACATTTTAAAAATATTTATTCAAACATAGTTTGCAAAGCATATTTATTGCTCTTACCATTTATGAGGCCTATATAAAGATGTTGGCCATGATCACAATCATCAGCAAAATAGACAAAGTTATTGTTCTTTCCTGCAATTTTGTTTTCTAATGATTATTAGTTCCAAAGAGAAATATTGAAAGATGAGCTTAGCTGAATTTACTGAGTAGTTATCATTCCAGGGAAGAAGCTCAGGAGAAGTTTTTAAGAGTTGTGATGTCAGATCTTCTGGCTATATGTGGCAGCTATGAAGAAATGAACACTTGCAGGAAGCACCTAGACCTATGGCTCATATCACTTACAGAAAATGTACTGCCTCTACATTCTATTAACTGCGGTGAAAACCACTTTATCCACATAACTGTCTTCCCTGGAGACGCACAGTGATGCGTACATGCTAGCCTCTATCACAGCACCTGGCATACACCAATTGCCCAAGAAATGTTTGCGAAATGACTCAAAACACATATGTGCAAAATCCACCTGTGTGGCACAATCCTGTATCAGAGCTCGTATAAGTATACGGTTGGCTTACTATAGCCATAGTTCAACATGTCTGTGGGTCCAAATGGCAGTTTATTTCAAGTATTCAGAGAAAAACTGCATCTGTACTCAACATGTACAGACTTGTGCTCATCATCATTCCCTAAACAATATGATATAACAACTATTTACATAACATGCACTTTGTATTAGCTATTACAAGTCATCTAGAGATGTTGCAAATATGGGAGGATATTCATAGATTTTATGTAAATATATGCCATTTCATACAAGAAACTTTGGTGTTCAGGGGCATCCTGGAACCAGTCTCCCACAGATGTTAAGTAATAACTGTGTGTGCGTTCGCATGTGCATATGTGTGTATGCTGTGTGTATGTGTGTATATATAATAAGCATATATAATCAATCACCAATCTATTGTGCTACTCAATTCAAAACATCATGATATCCGGCCAAAGGATTTCTATAGATTTTTTTCTGATTACTATAGTCATCATAATTATGCCTGCTGCTGAAAAAAATATTAAAACAATACAGAAATATATCCAATAGAACATGAAAATCCTATGCATTCCTCCTCAGATAAACACTGTGAGGCACTAACCAGTGCAGTGCACACAATTGAAGACATTTTCCTTGACCACATTAATGTTTGTTGTACACAGTAACTTTTTAAGCTTGTGGATATGACATCTGTGACTTAGACCAGCTTCTTCCAATAGCTCTGGTATTTGTACAAGATACCCTTGGTAAATGTGTGGGCCCTGCTGCTCACAAGGTTCTCTGTTCTGAGGAGTCTTTGTTGTCTATTCCATGGCAGCTAGTCCATAACACATCTTACCAGGATACTTTTCCTTGTAGGCCAGAAGGAATCACATGTGGGAATCCACAGAGATCTCCAGAAATATTGCTGAAAACCAAGGGTCCTTTGTACAGACTTAGTAATGAAGTAGACAGTGTCAGATATAATAACTTTTGGAAGCATGTGCTCCAAAAAGTATACTGTCATCTCTCATACTTTTAACTTATTGCTCAAATGACATCATAATAATCTTTAAATATCTGTTTTTCAAAAACGAATTCACCACTGTGAGTGTAGCTCAGTGGTAGAGCACTTGCCTAGCATGCAAGAGGGTGTGGCTTCAATCACAGTAACACAAATCAATCAATCAATGAATCAATCACCCACGAAGAAGTAAAAGCCCTTGGTGTGAGAAGCCCCGCAATTTTCCTTTCTGAATATTTTTTATTGTGCATATAATCTGCTCCCCAAAGGTAAGCTTATAAACTTTTGAAATGGATGAGATTTTCTCATATAATAACAATCATCACTACATTCCTGGTTGCCACTCAAACAAGAAAGGGCAGGTTTTACTTCTGTCTGAGCACAAGATTAGGATTCAAAAGAATCAGCCTCTTTCTTGGCCATGCTTGTGGACCATTTGGTCTTCAGAAATGTGGCTGCACCCCAATCTGTTTGGATTCTCCTGTGTTACACCAATGGTATTAGAACTCTGTTGGCCCAGAGTCCAGCAGCACTGGCTACACCAAGCCCCTTGTTAGAACAGAGTCTCTGGCCATGCCCCAGACCTGCTGGAGTTGAGTCTGCCTTTTCCACCCACCCCAGATGATTCCATGCACGTTGAAATTTGCAAACATTGCTTTAAGGGGCCTTTGTTCATTGGCTTCCATTCCTGCAGACTGGTCCTTCCCGCTCTCAGACTGTAGCGGGACTTGCACTGACTCAGGTTCTCAGCTCCTGATTCTTCACACCAGCCTCTGAAAAATCACCCTGGGGTGCATATTTCTGGGTTGCTTTGCTAGAGATTCATATTCACCAGTTTGGAGGCTGGATCCAAGAATATGTATTTTTACTGTGTTCCTCGAGTCATTCTTATGATCTAGGTCCTTTGAGTAACTCTGTCTCAGTTTTCTCTGCATGACCCTGAATTCCACAGGATCAAATGAAATATTGATAAAAGAAAAAATTATATGAAACACTTAGGCAAATTAAAGAAACAAAATATTAATATTTTACAGTAACACCCAGAGATATGTACCCCAATAAAATTGTTCAGGCCAGATTCAATCTTATCAGCCTTAGAATAATGTCAAGAGTTTCATCTTTAAAATAGAATCAAACAAGGGAATGAGTGAGAATCTTCAGCATCCGGGAGGTGCAGTCTGTTTGTTCTGCTTTTATGCTGGTACTGTTTGCATAGGAGATAATTTATTATTGTCTTCTAGCTATGCAGGGTGTCATGTGCTGCAGTGGCTCTTATGTTGCTGATAAGCTAGGCTGGCCCTGAATAAACAGCACTTCATCATCAACAAAATCCAACTGTAGACACAGGTTGGCATTTTATTTCCCCATCTGCCTTCTACCTGATAAATTACTGTTTTAGTTGCATGTATACAAATACAATTTGTTAGTCTGCTCAAATATCTCCAAAATATTTCCCCTCTCTTAAGCTAAAATTATATACTTATATATGTATTTCCCACTCAATTTGCTAAGAGTTTAGAAAAGAAAAAGGACCCCCCTTTAATCTTTCTTGCCCACCCCAGCATTTATCCCCTCTGTATTTATAAGCCCAACCTATAATTGCTACATAGAATTTAGGAAATTGCTTTGCTAAACAACTGAGAATTAACCGACAAAATCCCAGACTAATACCACCAGTAAGGACAAATGGTAATGCTCACTATCATAGCCCTTTATCACCCACTGTTCCAAAGATTCAATCATTAAGCTGTTTCAGAGGACATGAACCTTTTGCCTAAATAATTCCAAGTTTTGGAGTGAGTGGGAAGGCCTAGAAATATGGGGAGAAAAGCTTTGTTATTTTTCAGCCAAAAGCTAAGGTGGAGATGCCAAGAGCCCTAGAAGAAGTCACTAGTCATGATGACAAAGGGCAAAGAAATAGAAATGGCATGGCTTTGCTTGAATTCATGTATACGAGACCTGAAATAGCGGTGGTGATAGCGTCCAGCAAATTTACTGCATTCTTGGTTGAAAGTGCATAAGTAAATGCAGTGGAAAATGCCATCATCACAAAATCCCACTTTATTTCTTACTCCATCACTGAGAAATTTATTCTTTACGCTACATACTAGTAGCTTCCATGCATCATGTGAAATAAACATGATATACATAATGTACAAATTTGAGTACTGAAATGTGGCTATTCCCTGAGAGAGAAAACCTCACTCCTTTTCTACCACTCATACATGCTCAACTCCTATTGTCTTCTCAGTACCTCCTGTAGCATATCAGGTCCTATCTCCCCTCAAATGGCTCTTTTCAAAAGTACCAATCATTCTAGGGTGCCAATCCCAACATCGTTTTCCTGTTCTTGCTCTATTTGACTTTTCTGCAGAACTCCATGAAGGCGGTCCTCCTTCCTTCTCGAAGCACTTCACTTTCCTGACAGTATACCTTACTTGGGTTCTCCCAGCTCTCTGGCCACTCCTCTGACACCTTTGCTAGTTCCCTTTCCTACTGATCCTGTGAATATTCACTGCCCCAGACTATGGTGCCTAACCCCTTTCCCTTACTTCTCTTTGGCAATTTTAGTCACATGGCTTTAAAACAATTTACTTGCCAGGGATGATGGAATTTACATGCACCTGAACTCTAACTGTGTCTGTCCACATGAGTCTGTATGTAAATGTCTAGACAGCCTCTCAAATACAGCATGATCCACTGTGGTGGAGATTAACTAATGATTAACTTGGAACGTCCAGCTGAACAGAGTCAGTGTGTTTCTGGGCCTGGAAGACCCAACTGAAAATGGTTGCCAAGAGCATAAAAGGAGAACTGAAGGGGAAGATTGTATGCTGTTGATTTTCTTGGAGAAGCTTGCCACATCTGGTTTTCCTGATACATACTTGGCTGTTCTCATTGTCAGAGGAGCTCCAGTCCTCGCTGTCACTGAGAATCTGAGGATGGCTGCTGTTTTCTTTAGGGGAGCTCTGGTCTTCGCCTTGAGGGTCACTTCCTGGCTCTAGTGCAGATCCCTCAGCCTGGTGACACACAGACTCCCACCCTATTGATGCAGACTTTCTAGCTTCCACCACTGGCCCCTGGGTCTTCCTGGTGCAGATCCTTGATATGGACTTGCCTGAGACATTGCTGTGGGAACCAGGCCCTCGGCTGGACTTGTGGGGAACAGTGCTGTGAGACCCAGGCCCTCGGCTGAAT